GGCGAGACCAGACGTGAGACGGATGCGTTGGTTCAGGAGACACAGGAGGAGACACAAGAGGGGAACGAGGGGGGAGACGAGCTGGAGATGAGCCCGGGGGAGGGAACACAGGGCTGTAGACTGAAAGAGGAGGGGACGGCAGGAGAGGAACAGACGCAGGGTCAGGGGACGGAAGGCCGAGCAGGCGAAGGGCTGACACCGGCGGTGACTGCGGCTGCGGCGGCATAACACCGACTCTGGGGTCGTAAGCTACTCCACGGCGACCTCCAAAACACTCCACTCCTGCACCCCCAAAAAGAACACCCCAAGAGCCCGAAACCCCTCCAGCACCGGGACCCCTCCCAACTCCAGCACCCCCAGAGGCAATGATTGGCTGCTGCGGCAGCGGCGGCGACAACGGCGGCAACGGCGGCCGCGGTGGCGGCAGCGAGGACTGCTACTGCGGCGGCTATAACGGCTGCGCGGCTGCGACAACGGCTGCGGAGGCGGTGGAGGAGGAGACACTGGGGGAGGGGCAGGCGGCAAGGACTGCGCCGAATCAACAGACTCCTCAACCGGGACAACCGACGGGAGGGGGGTGACGTGAGACACACCAGACGAGGCAGGATGGGGAGGGGGAGGGGCAGGTGCGACCAGGGACGGGGGAACCAGGAACCACGGGGGGGGTAACGGGGGGACCACGGTGGGGAAAGTGGTGGTAGAAGGAGACGGACTCGTCAAAGGTGACGTCACGGGAGTAAAAGAACCGGTGGGACGGCGGGTGGTAGAAGTGCCAGTCAGACGAGTCAAGGGGGAAACCAAGGAAGACACAGGGGACCGTGCGGGCAGTAAGCTTGTCCGAGCCAGAGGCACAAACGTGAGCAAGGCAGCCTCAGATGTGGAACGCAGACGCGTCACCAGGAAACCCGGTCCAAAGAAGGGACGGCGAAACCTGCAACTGCTGAGGGTGCGGCCACAGGTTAAGCTGGTGAGCGGCGTAGTGAACGGCAAACGGCCACAGAAAATTAGGTGCACTAGCGTGGATCATGGAGGTACGAGCCACCTCCATGACCAAATCGATGCGTCGCTCAGCGACTCCATTCTGCTGCGAGGAGTCCGGCAGGATGAACGTTTGGGTGATGCCCTCCGCACGAAAAAAGCGACCAAGGACGCCGGAGGCAAACTTGCCACCACGGTCGGAGTGAAGACGCAAGACAGGGAGACCGCGGTGGACACGCGCAGAGACTAGCCAGGGGATAAGAACATCAGGCATGTCGGTATTCCGCTCCAGGGGAAACACCGTGATGTAGCGCGTGTAGTCGTGGACAAGCACGAGGAAGTAGCGCTCTCGACGCGGCCCATGGATGGGGGCGGGGCCCCAGACGTCCATGTGCAGGGTCTGTAGTGGTGTGGTAGTGGGGGGGAAAGAGGAGGAGTGAGGGGCGTGGCGGAGCCGACCCTCAACGCAGGGCGTGCACGGCGGCGCTGTGGAGGGGGGCAACTCGGGGAATGACCCTGTTAGACCGAGGACAAGACCATGCTGTGACATGTGACGCAGACGCGGGAGCGCGGGGTGACCTGGACAGTGGTGCCACATGAGGGTCGGGTAAGTAAGCGATCGACACGAGTAGGCCGCTGCAACCTGAGACGACGCAGCTACATGTGGAGGCGTCCAAACCGGGGGGGGCGTGGTGTCCAGTGTGAACAAGCCAGACACCGGGTCCCGGGGGAACGTGGTGAGGGGAGCACCACTGACGGCCTCGGTACTGACAGCAAACCGCTCATGATCTGGGAACGTAGTGGTGGCCCCAAGGTCCTGGAGGCAGCCAAAACCAACTAGGTTCCTGGAAAACGAGGGGACGTGCAAGCCTGTAAGCGAGCCCGAAGGAGCCGCCGGACTGGGAAGGGTGGTAAAACTACGAGCGACTACCGGACCGGAGGAGGGGTCAGCAAGGGAAACAGCAGCAGGAGCAGCAAGCGGCGACAGCGTAGTGGAGTCGCGGAAGAAACATTGGGAAGCGCCAGAGTCCAGGGTGAAGGAGAGCGCAGTAGTGGCGGCCGTAGTCAGAGCAGCGACGGAGGAACCAAGGTTAAACAAGGCAGGAGGTCCTACGCCTGACGCAGCAGGGGAGGCAAGACTAGGCACACCTACACTAGGCAACACGTGGTAGTAACAACCAGTCACACTAGAGACATCAGCATACAGCACATACAGAGCAGAGCTAAGCTCATTCATGTCCATATCAAAGATCGGAATACTACGACGAAGCAAGCTGTACCAGTCGGGGAGGTCGGTCGACGGGCCGAAGCGAAGATGAAACAAGTCGTCAAGGTGACGGAAGCAGCGGACAGGGAGTGACCGATCTTACCACAAACGGAGCCGCGGCGAGGACCGGTCTAGAGCTGGTACTGGCAGCGCCCGTCACCCGAACTGCCACCTAGAGGCACACCATGCGCACGGCCACCACCACGTCCACCGCCGCCACCAGCGCCAGGCCACCCGGGTGGGAGACCACTCGCCCTCCTCTGCTGCTGCGACTGCTGCGACTGCTGCGGCTGCTGTGACTGCTGCGGCTGGTGCTGGGGCTGCTGCAGCGGGTGGTGCTATTCCGGCTGCGACGGCTGCTTGGCCGCACCAGGGACAGTCCCCTCGTCCGTGCCACCACCAGGCGACCCGACTCCACCACCACCTCAACTTGCACCCCCACCCCCTCCGCCGCGCCCAGCCTTGGGGCGGCGGCCCTTCGCCGGACGGAACTGCGCTGCAACTGCCATCTCAGCCATAGCAGCGGAACCGTCGGAGAAGGTGCACTAACCAGGGGCACAGCCCTGAAAGATAGGGACCGGAACAGTACCGCTGGTCTGGGCGATAGAGCGGTGGCGGGTCTCTATGGCAGACAGGGTGTCAACAAAGTCGGTGAGGGTGAGGTCACCAGGGTGGACGCTAAGGAAGCGGTCGCGGGCAGTGGCAAGACGGTCAGGGAGGCGGGTGGCCAGAAGGTAGAGGGCAGATCAGAGGGGCGGCTGATGGGCTATAAGTTGGGTCTCAGTGCAGGCAGAGCGCCAGGTCGCGTCTATCGTGCGCAGGTGGGCAGCCAGGTCAGCGACAGTGGGGAATGAGGCATGGTCAGGGAAGAGCATCGGCAGGATCAGGCGACCTACCGAGGCAGCGGGCAGGGTGGAATAGCGCTGGACAACAGCATCTAGGAACTCCTGCGCAGTGGTGACGGACCTAAAGCGAGGGCGCTTAGTCAGGGGGAGGGCATGGCTGATAGCAAGCTGCGCAACGGCGTCACGCGGCAGCCAAACGGAGCGAGCAAGGGCAGCAGCTGCAGCGGACTCACGCTCAGCAGACAAGGGGTCAGCGGGCAGTGCAGCACGGGGGTCAGGGCAGGGGAGCGTACCGTCAAGGTGGACAGACAGCGAGTGGCCATCCTACCGCTGACCAGTGAGATGGCGGCGGAGGTCGATCAGCCACGCGTCAAACTCAAGCGGCTGACCCTCAGCGTCGAAGCGAAGCACGTCCGCCATCAGGAATGGTGCAGAGCGGTGCAGTGCAGTGCAATGCGGTGCTGTGCGGTGCAGTGCGGTACAGCGCGGTGCAGGGCGATGTTGTGCAGTGCTGTGCGGTACAGTGCGGTATAGAGTGGTGCCGGGCGATGCAGTGCAGTGCAGGTCGGGAAGGACGGGCTGGGCACGAGTCGGAGGTGGGCTGGCGGCTAAACGAACTCGGGGCCGGCGCAGACCGGGCACGAAGGGGGGCCAGCTAGGAGAGGGCGCGGGGCCGACGAGGGGCGGGCGCAAGGGGGCGGCGAGGAGCGGGCGCGACGGGGGCGCGAGGGGCCGGGTAGGAAACAGGCGCGACGGGCACTAGGGGCCGGCTAGGACAGGCGCGACAGCCCAGGGGGCCGGCTAGAACGGGCGCGATGGCTCAGGGGGGCGGCTAGGACGGGCACGACGGCTCAGGGGGGCGGCTAGAATGGGCACGACGGCTCAGGGGGCCGGCTAGGACGGGCGCAACAGCTCAGGGAGCCGGCTAGGACGGGCACGACGGCTCAGGGGGCCGGCTAGGACGGGCGCGACGGCTCAGGGGGCCGGCTAGAACGGGCACGACGGCTCAGGGGGCCGGCTAGGAATGGGCACGAGGGCTGCTAGGGCCTAGGGCGGAAGCGCGGGCGGGCTAGATGGACCTAACCTACTCATGATACCATGTCAGAATGAGAGAATGACTAGAATAGGAGGATACTGGGAAATATAGACTAGAGTGTTGTACCCTCTAAGGCACAAACCTGTATAGTCTACAGTAACAAATTAAGTTATGTTTGACAACAACACCATAGCACAGAACCTCCATGTATGCTTCATTCTAGTCATTCGAGCGCTGCAGAGAGCGCTGCAGAGGTGCTTGTGTCTTCCGCCTATCCCATCAAGGGGGGGTGTCAAGAGACACATTGGGGTTGCCCTTGATCCTAGTGGAAGGACTACAAACCATCTCTCTGCCTGGGGAGTTATGGGCGCACATACATGCCCGCTACTTAACAAACCCTTTCAGCTCAGTGGTTAGTGACTTATTTCTGACAATGTGCCATTTTACTGCCTGCTGCTACTAGTGTGTATGGCACGATGATGCTGATGAGTGAAAAACATGATGTAACAGATTTGTTTTTTATCGTTGTTGTAATACTTCAACTTGGTCACTTTGTTTGCCTCGTTGCTGGATACTTCGGGACGTGAGCCCACACCGCCCCGTAATGTGCGGTCTCTCGCCCCTTCACGTTCTGCTGAAGCACACTCACCCCGTTTGCGGGACAAGCCGCGGCACCTGCCTTGAAGGCTGGTCGTGCGGCTACGATGTGCTCAATTGCATTTCACAACAGCTTGTTTACTCTCAGCCGTCGATTCAGTTTGTTCAGTCCAGATTTCAGAAAAGCGAAGCTCGAGATTCGGGGCTGTGTTTGACCCATGTCCTGCAGCCAAAACCGCGGGTTTGGCTTCCGTCAGCAATTGCACACAGCGTGATGCGTCGGAGTAAGTTACGGTGTGGCGCAGCAAGGTGGAGAAAAAACTGTGCACACCTGCACATTTCGGCTCTTCGTCCGCCGCCGTTTCTCACTTAGCCAAGCCAAGTTTGGCCTGTACGAGGTGTTGAGCTAGTCAGAGTGTGTTATGAGTGCAGCACCTCTTTAGCAGATAGGCAGGCAAACTAGTATGCCGCTTTCCGCGTCTGAACAATAGCGCACAAGGGTAGTGCGATTGATTTTTTCCTGTAAAAACGCTCGCCTTCCCCGTGACGTCAAAGTTTGATTATCCCCCTCCTGACGAGCACCACCAGCGCCATGGCTGTCGTATCGGCAGCGAAAGCTTGCCGAGCTGTCGCACTGCTCCCGTTGCTCCTCCTCGTCGCCTTAACACTCTCCCCACTACCCTCTGCGCACGCGTCCGCCGGACAGACTCCATGGGTGGGAACCGTGTCGCAGCACCTCGGTAACACTTCTAGCGCAGCGGACGTGGCTGCCATCGCGGTGCCAATGCGACACGTGTCGGTCGTTGAGGATGAGGACGAGCCGGAAATTGCGCGGCGAGAGATGCTGGAGCCGACCGCGGCGACGGCGGCGATGCAGTGCCTGAAGCCCACCGTGAAGGGGTTCGCGTCGTCCATGCTCATGGAACCAGGGTGCGTCGCCATGACCCAACAAAACGCCCCGCCTTAAAAGAAAAATGCCTTTCAGGATGGAAGCCATACGTGCGTTTTGTTTGCCGCTAACGCGTCCTTCAATAAGGCGGACGTGTCCTTTGCCATTTTGCGCTCCGTCCCTCGTCCCCCATCCCCCCTTGCCCCCCCCCCCACCTCCCCTTCCCCCCTTTTCGCAATGCTTACCTTACTGTTTAGACGACACCGATCTCCCTATACTGCCCTCCCTCCCCCCCCCCTCCCCCACTCACTCCCTCCCTCCCTCCCCCTCTCCCTCCCCCTCTCCCTCCTCTCCCTCCCCCAGCCTCTTTCTCAACTGGAAGATAACGAAGACGGGCGCAGTCGCCGTGGCTATCCACGCCAAGGCGACGACGACCGCTGCGAGAGGCTGGATCGCCGTAGGATGGTCGGCGACGGGCCTCATGTCGCCGGCCGAGGCGATCGCGGGCAACCTGCCGCACGGCGGGTTACAGGGTTACAAGCTGAACACGTACACTTCGGTGGTTCCGACGAACAGCATCGCGTTCAAGGGAAGGACGGTGTCCACCACTGCTGCGGGCACGGTGATCAGGTAACTCCGCCGCCGCCTCGCATGCGTCTATCCCTCCTCTGGGCTCTAGTCTAGTATGCCGACTTGCCCCCACCGATGGCGCGCCCTGAAATGCCCGCTTGGAACAACGGTTGCCGCTTCTTGCTTTTTCTTTCCTCCCTGTGTCGACGCGCCCGCCTTCCCTCCCTCTCTGTGCGACGCAGTTTCATTCGTCGGCCCGGCGACGGAGGCAAGGTGCCGGTGACGCTGCGCCAGCCAAACCGCCTCGTGTGGGCCTACTCTAACGACGGCACCAAGGCCGTTGGTTACCACGGCAGTAACGTGTACGTCTTACACATTAGCGGAGGAGACTCGCTAGAAGGTTTTCCTCTATGTGGTGCTCGTAATTGCGGGTGTTTGCGAATCGTGCGAAGTAGCCTTACCACGTTCTTTCTGCCGATTGCCGCAATAACTGCTGTTCCCTTCTCTGCCCGTTACAGTGGCGCGCTGACAGTCATCTTCGCTTGTAACGGGGCGACGGGCAAAGTGCCGGGCAACCCCAACACTCCGCCCCCGCCGCCGTACAAGCCTCCGCCGATCGTTCGGTCCAACAAGTGCCCGGTGTCGTCTCTCCCCGGCTTCATCTACATGACTGATCTTGCGCCAGGGTGAGTATAACGCGAGTTAAGAGACAGGTGCTTGTGTGGGTTTTAGCCCTAGCCAGTCTCGCACCTCTTTTCCTGACTGCCGCCCCTCTCACCGCTGGGTCCGTCGCTTCCTCTCATGGTCCACACTCCATGCCCCCTTCCCCGACTTCACTCCAATCTTCCTTCCCTCCTCCCCCTCCCGTTCCCCCTGTCCGTTCTTCCCTCCTACTGTCACTCTCCGTCTCCTACTGTCAGTCTCCGTCTCCTACTGTCACACCCCCACCCTCGCCACGCGCGCCCTCCCAGCGTCGTGCTGCGCTCACTGGCGCCTGCATCAGCGCAACGTGGGAGAGGACGCGATGGAGGCGGCGCTAGAACGAGGAGCGGGTGGGATGCCGCATCCTCAAAAGGCAGCACCTCCGCCACGTTGCGCAGATGCGCAGGTGTCGCGGTCGTGATAAATACACCCGCACCCGCACTCATTCTCTCCGTTTCTCTCTTTCCCTTCCCCCGTCCCCCTTCCGTGCACTCACCCCCGCGCGCCCCCGCAGCGTCGTGCTGCACTGGCGCCTGTATCTGCGCAACGTGGTGGAGGTGGCGATCGAGGCGAAGGCGGGCAGCGGGGCGGAGAGCGGGTGGCTCTCGCTCGGGTGGTCCGCCAATGGGCGGATGGGCGGGTCGGAGGCTATTATCGGAAATAAAGGGGCGGGTGTACTGGGCGCTTATGACATCATGGGCTACAGTATGACCTCAATACAGCCTAAGATTTTGGCGCTGGGGGATGCTGCTGCGGTGTACAAGAATGGGCAAGGATCGACAATAATGAGGTGAGCAAAGGGAGGAGGGGGGCACATGTAACAATGGCTCACATGGCTGTACAGTGCTGTAGTACACCCTATAACAAGAAGACAGATGGCTGAATTCCATTTGACAAGCTCTTAGTATTGTGTGCTACTTTCTAGAGTTCTGCCTAGGTGAAATTTGAATTGTGAGTGTGGTGTTTCTTATAACTCGCAGGTTCAGGAGAGCAAGGGGGAAGTTCAACCGGGTTGCGGTGAATCCGTGGGGGATCAACACGCTGGTGTGGGCCTACTCCAAGGACAACACCAAGACTTTCACCTACCACGGTGGTAACTGGTGAGCGAAACACTGTAGCAGGTGGGTCAGGGAAGCATGCATACGAAATCCTTATCCTCAGCTCCAACCAATGCTTGCGTCACGCCTTTCTATGTAACCGTGTGGGGTGGGGGGTGGGGGGGTGTGCGTCTATTATCAACTCATGGCACTTCTCAGCTCAGGCATGTCTTCTCATTCCTCCACTATAGACAATGCCTCATGCATTTAGCCCTTCCCTCTTCCCCGTCCCATCCATGCCTCCCTCCCCTCCAGTGGCTGGCTCACAGTGGACTTCTCCTGCAAGGTGCCGCCATACAATCGCGGGCGGGGCGAGAATGAGGGCAATGAGGGGGAGTATAACTAGCAGTTCAAGGCATGATGACTTGAAGCTAGAGTCATGTGCCCCTCTGGTAAAATGAGCTTAGTAATTTCTTCAGTTATTTTAATGGTCTCTGTAGTTTACGTATTATAGGATTGTGTTTAAGCCATAACCTTTAAAACCACAGGCTAGAATAGCACACCTGAGGAGCTCTTGAAAAAATGTTTCGTTTAGGGGCAGACCCTTCGGTGCGTTTTCTATTTCCGAAATGGTATGGGACCCGAAATTGTCTGTAATGCGAAGTAGCTTTGCTACGTTATTGGTGCGCGACGATTGATTTGGCGTCAGATGCTCGGCGGATGATGTTGCCATTGACCGCTCACACAGCTCCGTTTTTTCAAGAGCTCCATGGGTGTGCAATAGGTTTTTAACCCGAGGTTCAACAAGGTCGCATTTCGCGCAACCCATGTGGCTGTTCGGCTCACAAGTTGCACGGTTCACCTTTGCCCTAGTCGCAAGTCGCGGTCGAGGGTGCCTCGTAATGTGAAGCTTGTGTTAACGTAGAAACGAATGATTACTAGAGGTGGAAACCTAGAACAAATACTAGTTGGTTGTACTCACTAGAAGCATACCTCAGTCTAGCCTATAACTTCTACATAGATAATATGTATAAGTTGACACACCCCCTAGGCTAGACAAGGGGTGAAACTAAACAAGAAGCAAACAGCTCAGGGCGGCACTACTAGTCCAACCACTGAGGCAGGGGTCTGGAGACCAGTCAGCAAGAATACAACCAAAACTGAAGCAAGCCAGGGTGGCACTACTAGTCCAGCCACTGGAGGTAAGGCCACAAGGCCAGGCTGACAAGCATATATAATAGAGAGTACACAATCAGGATCCTAACAGGGGAGCAGCTATAGGAACAAGACCAAGCTGTACACAGTGCCGCTGATGATCTTTAGGCGCAAGCGCCTTAGTAAAGATATCAGCTGTGTTGGCACCTGAGGCCAAGTGAACTACGCGGGCCTGGCGGCGCTGCTGTAGCTCGCGCAGGAGGAAGTACCGCAGCTGGATATGCTTCGCTCTGCCCTCAAGCCGAGGCTCCTGACACAGGAGTATCATGGCCCTGTTGTCAGCGTACAGGACCGGGGCAGAGCTAGGCCGCTCACCTAAGTCTGTGAGCAAGAAGGTCAGCCAGCGGAGCTCCTGTGCCGCCATGGCACCAGCGTAGATCTCAGCCTCACAGCTAGACTGAGCCACAGACGACGAGCGAGTGGATCTCCAAGAGATAGCACCCGAACCAAGGCTGAAACAGTAGCCCTGCGACGACCTGAGCGTCTCAGCGTCGTCTGCCCAAGAAGCGTCTGTGTGCCCAGTAAGGACCACTGGCCTGCGTCCTCCTAGCACTAACCCCATGCCTGATGTACTAGCAAGATAACGCAAAACCCTCTTAGCGGCAGACCAGTGCTGAGGTCGGTGTCTGCCTGTAGCCACAAAGCGAGCCAGGATGCTGAGAGGGTATGCGAGATCTGGGCGAGTGCAAGTCATCAGGTACATGAGGCAACCCACCAGCTCTGCGTAGGGGCCACTGGGCTCTACTGGCTCCTCAGGAACGGGAGCAGAGAGCCCATGGTCTACGGGTAGAGGTGTGGGCTGTGCGGAGGAGAACTGAAAACCGAACCTCTGAAGGACCTGACGCACCAAGTGTGACTGGGTCAGAGTGATGGTGCGTGCTGCTCTGTCCCTAGAGATCTGCAGGCCAAGATAGCGACGCAGCTCTCCAAGGTCAGTGCAGGTGTGTCTCTTCAGCAGCTCAGCCTTCACAGAGGCCAGTGCGTCCCTGTCAGGAGTAGCGAAGACCAGGTCGTCTACGTAGACAAGGATGTAGAACGGAGTCTGGCCGGAACGCACAAACAGTGAAGGGTCAGCAGAGGACGGAAAGAACTGCAGGTCTGCTAACGTGGCACGTAGCGTGTCGTGCCACTCGCGGGGAGCCTGACGCAGGCCGTAGACCGGGCGCCTGAGAAGCCACTGGGTCCCAGGAGGGAAGGTACCAGTGAAGCCCTGTGGTCGGCGCAGGTAGACCTGCTCGTGTAGGCTGCCCTGAAGAAAGGCAGTAGAGAAGTCGAGGGAGTGAAGCTCGTAGTCACGCTGTGCTGCTACGTGTAGCAGCGCCCGAAGAGTGGTCATCTTCGGGGTCGGGGCGAAGGTCTGGAAGAAGTCAACCCCCTCGCGCTGACTGAAACCTCTGGCCACGTAGCGCGCCTTGAAGACAGGCGGCTCTCCAGGGGGGCGCTTCACCTTGAAGAGCCACCGACCATCGACTACGTTCACCCCAGGCGGGGGAACTGCGTCGACGTAAGTGCCGGTGGATCTCCAAGATGCCATCTCCTGCTCCATGGCAGCTATCCACTGAGAGGCCCAAGGTCCCGAGGTGGCCTCAGCGTAGGTGCGAGGGGTCGGGATGTCGAAGGCGTCTGGGTCACCCTCAGGGACTAACAGCATGGAGCAGAGATGGGGAGCAGCCTCGGAAAGGAAAGCCAGCTCGTACTGCCTGTCCTCTAGGACGTCACTGCCAAGGGCAGGAGCACCCCCGACGGACAGAGGACGGGCAGGGTCAGAGACCAGAGCGGTAGCGTAGTCAAGGCGGTGGGTAGAAGCGAAGTCAGCGACAGCAGCGACAAGCGCGTCAAGGCGCGAGACAGGAACAGCAGGGTCGGTAACAAGAGAGGCAAGGACCCGAGGGACAAGGGGACGAGCAGCACGGAGGTAGTCAGAGAACGGAGGAGGTGCAACAGCAAGGGACGAGGGAGGAGGGGACGGGAGGAGGGGAGGACGAGACGAGTGGGAACGGAGCAACATAGGGTGGGTGGGCAGGACAGGAGAGACGGGACGAGCACGGGAGGGACGGCGAGCCCAAACGTGAGACGGAGGGGTAGGGTCAGGGGACAGCGGAGGAGACACAGGAGGGGAACGAGGAGGAAGACGGGCCGGAGACGAGTCTGGCGGCGGGAACACAGGACCGTAGACAGGGAGGTCAGGAGGCGGTGGGGGAGACACCGGCGCGCGGTCCGGGGAGGGAAGGCCGAGCAGGCGGAGAGCGGAAACCGGCGGCGACGGCTGCTGCGGCGGCGACGACGGCTGGGCCGGAACTCTCGGACCAGCAGAGGCAGAACGACCGTCGGCAGAACACTCAACAGCAGCACCCCCAGAACCAACACCCCCAGAGCGAGAACCCCCTCCAACACCAGCGGCACCCCCAGAAGCCGCAGGACGAACACCCTCCTCCACACCAGCACCCCCAGGGGCCGAGAGCAGCGGCGGCAGTGGCGGCAACGGCTGCGGCGGCGGCGACAGCGGCGAGGGCTGCGGCAGCGACAGCGGCGGCGGCGACGACGAAAGCGGCGACGGCTGCGGCGGCGACGGCGACGGCGGCGGCAGCGGGGTCGGCGACTGCGACAGTGGGGGCGGAGGCACCGGGGAAGGGGGACGCGGCAAGGACGGACCGGGGGTACCACCAGAGTCAGCAGACTCCTCAACGGGGACAACCGACGGGAGGGGAGTGACGTGGGAGACACCAGACGGGGCAGGACGAGGCGGGAGAGGGGCAGGGGCTACCGGGGGAGAGGGAGCAAGGAAAAGGGGGGGGCAACTGGGAGACCTCGGTGAGGGAAGCGGCGGTAGAAGGAGACGGACTCATCAAAGGTGACGTCACGAGAGTGGAGGAAGCGGTGAGACGGCGGGTGGTAGAAAAGCCAGTCAGACGAGTCCAGGGGGAAACCGAGGAAGACACAGGGGACAGTGCGGGCAGTGAGCTTGTCCGTGCCAGAGGCACGAACGTGAGCAAGGCAGCCCCAGACGTGGAACGCAGACGCGTCACCGGGGGACCCGGTCCAAAGGAGGGTCGGCGAAACCTGCGGCCGCTGGGAGCGTGGCCACAGGTTAAGCTGGTGAGCCGCGTAGCGAACAGCGAACGGCCACAGAAAATGGGGGGCATCGGCATGGATCATGGAGGTACGGGCGACCTCCATGACCAAGCCGATGCGGCGCTCAGCAACCCCATTCTGCTGTGGCGAGTCCGGCAACGTGTACGACTGGGTGATGCCCTCCGCACGACAGAACTGTCCAAGCCGACCAGAGGCGAACTCGCCGCCACGGTCGGAGTGGAGACACAACACGGGGAGACCGCGGTGGAGACGCGCAGCCACAACCCACGGGAGAAGAACGTCGGGCACGTCGGCCTTCCGCTCCAGGGGAAACACCGTGGTGTAGCGCGTGTAGTCGTCGACAAGCACAAGGAAGTAGCGCTCACCGCGCGGTCCGGGGACGGGGGCAGGGCCCCAAACGTCCAAGTGCAGGGTCTGAAGGGGGGCAGTAGCAGGACGCAGCGAGGAGGAGTGAGGAGCACGGCGGAGCCGACCCTCGACGCAAGGCGTGCACGGTGGCGCAGTCGAGGGAGGAAGGGCAGGGAGCGACGCGGGGAGACCTAAGACAAGACCGTGCTGGGACATGTGACGCAGACGCGGGAGAGCAGGGTGACCTAAGCGGTGGTGCCAGAGAAGGGAGGGGTGAGTGAGGGACCGACACGAGCAAGCTGCAGCGACCTGGGAGGACGCACCAACCGGGGGGGAAGCGGTGTGTAGGGTAAACAGACCGGACACCGGGTCCCGGGGGAACGTCGCAAGGGGGGAACCTGAGACAGCCTCAGAACAGACAGCGAACCGCTCGTGCCCGGGGAACGTGGTGGTGACGCCGAGGTCCTGGAGACAGCCGACACCAACCAGGTTCCTGGAGAACGAGGGAACATGGAGGCCAGTAAGGGAGCCCGAGGGAACTGCCGGACAGGGAAGGGACGTAGAACTGCGCGCGACGACCGGACCCGCAGAGGGGTCAGCGAGAGAGACAACAGCAGGTGCAGCAAGCGGCGTGAGCGTGGAACGGTCGCGGAAGAAGCAGGCAGAAGCACCAGAGTCTAGAGTGAAGGACAGCGACGCAGTGGCGGGGGCCGGGGACGGAGCCGGTGCAGCGACTAGACTAGGCAACCTAGGCAGTCCTACGCCTGTCGCAGCAGGGGAAGCTAAGCTACACAAGGGTGAAACACCTAAACTAGAGTACACAGGGTAGTAAGATCCATCAACACTAGAAGCGTCAGCATACAAAGCATGCAAAGCAGCACCTATCTGATCCATGTCTAACTCAAAGATCGGCACGCCCTGGCGGAGCAGGCTGTGCCAGTCAGGGAGGTCCGGGGCCGGGCCAAAGCGACGACGAAAAAGATCGTCGAGGCGGCGGAAACAGCGGGCGGTCGGGTGC